TTTGGAAACATCATGCACAATAGAGCCTTATTCTTCCTGTGGATTGCCATCAACTATCTATAATAACGAATGTGAGCGGTTGGGTCAATTTTGCCATTGTAGAGCTTAAAGTTTGGGACCGTGAATTTATACGGGACTCTTTCCCTTTCTATCCATCTCCTAAAGGGAGAGACCTTCATTCCCCTAATGTATTCATCCATTGCCCTTCTTCCTAGCTCTATAGTAGATTTTTGTTCAGGCCTTTTTAGTCTACCATCAATCTCTTTTGTTATTAACCACTTCCAAGCATCCTCTTGCTTCTTGACCTAAGAGGATTTCTTTCTTGCATTTTTTTCTTGGGTGTCTTCTTCTTGCTTACCTCTATGCCTTTTTGGGCTAGGACTCGGCTTGGCACGAATGGGCTCATGTTTTACCTTGGTGCGGTGATTTGACGTTTTGAGGCTTCACGATCCCTAAACTTTCTTAAGGTCGTTCTTAGCGCCTCATTTTCATGCCTTAGTTTGCCTATCCCTTCTTGAGACTTTTTTCAGCATATTTTCATGAGCATCTAGTCTGTCTTGGAGAGACTGGACTAGCTTTATAAACACTAAGATTTCCCCATTGATACGTGGGGATCTCTCTTGGTATCCCTCGTTTATCTAGGTCTCATCTCAAGTGCAATATCTCCCTGATGACATGTTGTCGGGGCCTTTGTGATCCGCGCCCAAAATCCCCACAACATCTTCTCTAATGTCACTATTGGAGGGAAACAACCCTTGGTAGTTTCAGGGTAGGGGCATATTCATAAGCATTTTGATTGATGTGTGGTGATCCAATTATACTTTGTAGGTTTAACATGACTTTCTTTTATTCATAGGTTCCCACAACACAATGCCAATTGTATATGAAAAAAGTCTCTTACATTCTGATTTCAGTTTAATTGAGAAATAGTGAACAAGAGTTGCACTGTTCGTCCTGCAAAAAGAACAAATTGCAGAAACTAGGAGGTGGGCCAATCAGAGGCACTCTTATACTTAAGTCAATAAGGGTTCTGAAAGAAAATAAAGAAGTTTACTGGATTAGAAGTGCTTAGCTTAGATCTAAGCATCACCTGGTATTTATAGTGTTGCATGACAACTATTCTGGCAAGTTTTTAGTTGTTGACTATATTAGATGGGACACTTATTTCTCTACCGGATTACTTTTGGTTGATGCTAGAATTTCTCCTAGTTCTATCATTTGTCCATTAGTTAGGGTATGCTGATAACGTTATCCTATAATTAGGCAACTTTCTTATTAGTATCTTTAATTTATTGGGATAACCTAGCTATCTCATTTATTGAATGATTCTGTTTGGAAAACCATTTCCAAGATTTGCTGGATTTTGCTTTTTATTCGACTAGCCTTGCACGAAAATAAATTGTTTAAAAAAAATATTATTTTTATAGAAAACCTAAATTATTTGTGTAATTAAATTAAATAATAAATTAGTTGCCGATTAATTAATCCGTCTTTTACTTATTACTAAATTTAATTATTGATTTATTCTATAAATTTTTGAATAACGAATCTGTCATTTATTTAGGTATTTCTTCTACCCCTTTAGGAATTTATTATTAATTTTTATTTTGTTAAATATATTGATTAGATCACTTATAATATTATTATATTATTGCATACCAAAAAATAAAATATAACATATATTTGACCGTAGAATTCAACCTAATAACTACATGTGCATAATAGTTTAACATATATAGGACTTTAATTCTTCATATAGATATAGATAATTGTATGTAATTATACTAATAATAAATGAGTTCAAAAAAATTTAAAATTTTTTGTAAAAAAATCCGAAACAAGTTAAAAGTTGAATAGGTATAAAAAAATAAAAATTAGATAAAAGTATATAAATGGGTAGCCTTCAACTCATTGGTTGTAGTGGAGACTATAGTTCATCACCTATCTTTTGCACTTGTTTCTTGTCACGTTCTTTATGATATGTGACCTTATTTATTTGCTATTTTAATTATGCGTAATAATTTGGGTTAATTGTATTAGAGATCCCCAAAGTATGATGTTTGTCTTGTTTTGGTCCTCAATGTTTCAATTACATCATTTTGATCCCCAGAGTATTAAATATATTTCTATATAGTCCTTCAAATAAACAACATCTAAATTGTTAACGATTTTTTATTATATTACGTAATATCTAAATATGGACAAAAAATAATTTTGATAGGTCTTAAACAAAATTTGAGTAACTTTTGATAAAAAAAATGTGTAATATGGGTAGCTTTTGACCAAAATTTGGATAACTCATGATCAAAACTGTGTAATTTAGGTAGATATTTAACCAAAATTTTAGTAGAAATTTGGTGAAAAATTATCTAAATAATTTTTTTGCCCATATTTAAGTATCATGTGATATGTTTATGATAAAAAATCGTTAGCAATCTAGACACTGTCTGCTTGAGGAACCATTTAGAAACATATTCAATACTTCAGGGACTAAAATGATACAATTGAAACATTAGGGACCAAAATGAAACAAACTTCATACTTTGGAGACTTCCAGTGCAATTACTTTAATAATTTTATACCTTAGATCAAGATGTTTCTTACAACTTATTTTTTATATATTTCAGGGTTAATCTCAAATTGCACTCTAAAAAATTGTTCGAATCTCAATTTACACCCTTAAAGATAAAAAAAATCTCAATTTAGACCTTCAAAGATATAAATTTATATCAATGCGTACCTGAAACTAATGCCCGTCAGTTTGTCCTCTAAAACTAAATAGATAAATTACACCTAGTTCCCTTGTGCTTGTCACTTACTCATTTGGATCCCATCACATTTAAAATATTACTCATATACCTCATGATGTTTGTGCATGTGTAACACAAACCCCTTGTCGTTGATATTTGTTAATATTACTATTTTAAAATATAATTTTATTCTAATAAAAAATTATAATTTCACATTACACTTTATTTTGTGGGCCCAATTTACTCTAAAGTTCAAAATCAAGATTGACATTTGAATGTCCAATATATTGTAAGTATTTTTATAATATTCTTTATATCTAATGCAACATATCACTTAAACAAAATTATTTGAATGCCTAATTGGGGGAATATTTTTAATTATATTTAAATTTTTAAAAAATGTAGGTGTAATATTTCAAATGTGAGAGGTGTAAGAGCATCTCCAAAAGGGCTATCTAAAATAGCTAATCAAAATATATTAAAATATTGTATTATCTACTTCAACTAACCACTTTTTCAAATTCACTCCAACAACGCTATCTCTTTTTAGCTAATCACTTCAACTAACTTTCAATAATAAAATCTAAAATACTAGTTAGTATGTCATGTCATTACCATATTGATGACATCACATGCCGATTACGTCATCATAATGTCATATTTACAATAGTCACGAACACTACATCAATATAACACAATCTCAATGCAGCAAACCCAATTAAACATAGCAGTAGGTATATAAATGCATATAACACCCATCCCCTACGTTGAAGTAACTAAGTTCTCCTAGCTCATAAAAATGATAAATGCATATGACAATTGATTTTCGTTTCTCTTTCAATCCCAACACTACTTTTGCCATGACTGCAATTTTCTTCTAAGTTGATTTTTATGACAACAAGCCATATTCAAGTGATCAGTGAAAAAAACAAAAGAAACAACCAGGGGCTATAACAAACAAAGGAAAACATGGAAGTAGATATAGCATTTTGGTGTTGGTCAAAAAGTGTGCCAGTGCATTGTTCTAGCAGCAGTGACCTTTGTATGATGAATACCAATAACACAATGTTGCTTATTATTCTCCTATTCCTCAATAAAATATTGCAATGGATCAACTTCATCAATAGCAGTCAGGTAAATGAACATCAAGTGGTAAACACATTCTAGTTCATTTTTATCAATCATGATTTAAACTCTAAAGTCTACAAAATATTTCCAGCTGGAAAAGAGGTCAAGAGGCCAAACAGACCACAAACTATGAATACTTCAAACAATCTCCAAAGCCCAAAAATTATGAATCTCCAAATAGGTGATCAATACTTCAAGACATCAATACTTCAAACAAAGTGATCAATACTTCAAACAAGTGATCAATACTTCAAACAATCTCCAAAGCCCAAAAACTATGAATCGTAGACAAATCCACAAACAAAAGTATAAGATAAAATCCACAACAAACATACCAACCCATTAAAATAAATTACCCAAAAAACAAACCAATAATTTGTTTTTGCACTAAAAAGATCAGATCAAGGGTTTTAGAGAGAGAAAGGGAGGGGCTTTCGGGTGGGGGTTTTGTGAAGGGATGTGGGGGAGGGGCGAAGGGGATTTTTGGTGGGGCTTTTTCCAGGAAAAGAGAAGCAGAGTATAGAGAGGAGGGAAACTTGGTGAGGGTGTTGGCGACGGCTGGTTTTTCATTGGCGGTGGCATGGCGTTGAGACAGTGAGTCGTGTTGACAAAAAGGGAGAGAGACGTATTGTTGTGGCTTGTAGCTTCAACTTCAATTGATAAAGAAGCAGGGAGAGGCGAGAGTCATAGTAGCGGAGGAGGAGGAGGGGACGAGGGAGATATTGGTGCCAATGAGGGATTTACTGGCTAGCTCCATCTATCCGGTGAAAATGGGATCATCTATTTTACACAGTGGGATAACTAGTCTCTTGGAATAATATTTTTGGGTGAAGTTATCTAAAATAGCTAAAGAGGTGGGTTTAACCGGTCTTTTGGAGATGTTCTAAGTAATTAAGTGACAAACATGAAAAGATTTACGTATAATTTATACTCAGTTTTTAGACGACAAACCCTGTTTTTTATTTTTAAAAATACAAATTAAAATTTTTGATTTTTGAGGATATAAATTAAAATTCAAAAATTTTTTTGAAATACAATTTGAGATTAATCCAATATTTTATACTATATTCTCTTTATATTTTGTTAATAACTTATGATTTCACAATAAAATCACTATTGCAGCGTTTTTTCTAGCTCATCAGTTTTGAACTCTCTTTGCACTTCGGCTCATTGTAAATTATCTGGGATGAACAGCGCTGGCACTCCTGGCGGAATAGCCGGAGGTGGAGGAGGAGGAGGAGGTGGGGGAAGATCATGGCCTTCCACGACATCTGTGTCAGCGTCAGGAAAGAGGATACAGAAGGAGATGGCCGAACTCAACTTGGACCCACCTCCCGACTGCTCTGCTGGCCCCAAAGGCGACAATCTTTACCACTGGGTAGCCACAATCATGGGCCCTTCAGGTACTGCTCCTCCTCCTCTCTCTCTCTCTGTCTATCCCGAGTGTGTGTCTATGTGCCTGCAAATCGATTGGGTGTATGTGTATCTTTATTTTTCCGGATAGGGGTTTTCGGCTGCCGAGGCCATAAGTTATTCCAGGGTTATTTAAGGCGTAAAGCGAGAAGCGACTAAGGCTCCTAGGGCCTCTTTGGTATGTTTTTTTTGGAAGGGATTTGGATTGGATTGTCTAGACCCTAGTTTGACCCAAAGATAGAATTTACAGATGAGATTCAACATTTAACGTTGTCCATATCTATGTTTGGTATGTGCAGGGATATATGACTATTTTGATAATATATTTAAATATAAATAATTATTGTGTCCCTTAACCAATTTGTATATATAAGTATATATAAGGTATATAAGATATATAGGGGTATAAATGTCATTTGCATGAAATCTTATCCATACTTCATGGTTGCCAAACATGGTTTTTAGGGGGTTTACTCCCCAACCCATGTTTCCAAACCCCCCAAACCCACATACCAAACAACCCCCTAAAACCTATGCTTGAAGCGAAGCAAAATGTTTTATGAAAGCAAAGCGATCAATTAAAAAAAGGGTAAATATTTTAGTTTAATTATTTTTAAATATCTAAGTTCTAATTTTATATATACTAAATATTTAAATGCAAGTAAAATCATAAACATTTAAATTAAAATAAACACTAATAATATCTCAAATCTTAATAACAGTCATAACTTAAACATTTAAATTCAAAAAAATACTAATAATATCCCAAATTCTAATATTTAGAAATATAAGACACACAATTCAAACAACTAAACATTTATTCAATGCTCCAAAAATCTCAAGGACTTAAAAATCAATCCTCAACACTAAAGAATCTATCACACTACACTCAAAGTAACAAAACAATACAAAAAATCAGAAAAATCAACACTATTACACTACTAATAAAATCAGCAGCAGTACCAACGAAATCATCAAGTTCAAATGCATTACAGAAAAATCAGGATTACAGAAAATTAGAATTCATCATTCCAGAAAATCAACATTTAGGATTACAGAAAATTAGCATCTAGCATTACAGAGAATTAGTATCAGGATTACAAAAAATCAGCATTTATCATTACAGAAAATCAGCACTACTATCAACAAAATAGCATTACAGAAAATCAGAATCATCAGTTATATAAAATCAAAAGCAGAAAACAAAAAAGCAAAAGCAGAAAAAAAAAGCAGAAGCAGAAGTAGAAAAAACAGTAGAAGCAGAAAAATAAAAAATAGAAGCAGAAGCAGAAAATAGCAGAAGCAGAATAAAAAACAGAATCAGAAGCGAGAAGAAGAACCAGAACCAGAAGAGAGAAGAAGCAGGAAAACATAAGAGAGAAAAGAAGAAGCAACAGAAAAGAAGAAGAACCAAAGAAGAAGCAGAAAAGAAGAATAACCAGAGAAGAAGAAGAAGAACTAGAACCTGAAGTGAGAAGTAGAAGAGAGAAGAAAAAGAGAAGGAGACAAACCTGTGTCGATCAACGAGGAAGGGGAAGAAGAAGTAGCAACAGTCTTCGTCGTCTCTCTCTGACCAGCGAGGAAGGAGCAGTAGCCAGCGGTCTTCGTGTCTGACCTTTGAGCAAAATTAGGATTTGGGTGTTATATTTATGGGATAAGGGGGTAATTGGGTTTATGGGCATAAATTTTTTTTCCAATTGTCCAATCCAACTGTCCATAATAAAAATAAAACAATTTAAGACAACCTCACCTCGCATAATTAAGGCGCTCGTTTTCTCGACTTTCACTTAAGCTTAAGCGCTCGCTCGCTTCAGTTACATTCGCTTCGCCTGGGGTGCTCAAGACGACAAACCCTCCCTTCATTTCGCTTATCGCCTAGGCGCTTGCTTAGGCGAGCTTTTCAAAACACTGAGTTATTCTATGGGTTCAGTAGTCTTGTTATGCTCCTTGGAATTTAATTCCTAAATTATTGGATCTTGGGTTTTGTTATACGTATTCCAACAATGCACCCCGGGGGGGTTTCCATATAACTTGAACATACCCTTTTTTATTTATCTTTGATTTGCTGATGGGTATTCTTTTTTTTGTGATGGAGTAATTCTTGTTTTGTGTGTTCTACTGTGGTACTTGTGAAACTATGCATTAACAGGCACAAGTATTGTTATACGTGGGAAGTTTAGGTTGGGTGAGTTTTTCTTTCAGAAGTTTTCCAAAACAGTGGCATTTTTTGGTGGTCACAACCAAAATGTAATGGAAGGATGGATGTAGGCAAAATAGGATCAGTGGAGTTGGTGGTTATGGTCGTTGGAGTGAGGTGGTAGTGGCAGTATACCATAGGTCGGAATTGAGTTCATGTTGGTGGCTGTGTGGTGGAAGCGGAGGTGGAGACCTAGATGATTCCATCGTGGGATGTCGTGTCTGTGGTGGTACTGGTAACAACAGTGGTCATTACGGGTGCTGGTGTTACAGACTTGCAGTGTAGTGGATGTGGTGGCATCAATGATAGTGATGTAGTGGCTGTGGTTGCACAAATGTGATATGTGTGGCATGTTGTTTTTGTGTGTGCGGGGAGGGGGGGGTGGAATAAATCTATTTGGGAGTAGTTATACATAACCTCCCTCAATCAGAATTTGTGACACTACACATTCTTTAACTTTTAACAATAGTATAAATGGTAATAGAGGTAAATATTTTGGCAATCAAGTCTAAGAGTCTAACAATAGTAAAATTTCTGCATGTTTAAGCAATTTTCCAGCCATCTAGAAGGTCTGCAAGAATGATGGGAAAAATGAAGAACAAATTTTGCCCGGATGCCATCTGAGCTTCCAAGAACAAGAATTATGCAGCTAGATGTACAGAGGAATCTTCAACCATCAATTGAAGAAGCTTGGGGAGGAAAAGAATAATTAGGATAAAAATCCAAGTTAAGAAGTGGAGAAGTGAAGAAGAAAAGATAAGGAAGGGGAGAAGGAGAAGGAGAAGCATGGACAACAAGAAAAAGGAAAGAAAGAGAAAGATAGAGAAGAGCAGTGGCAGCAGCCATAGGTTTTCTCTCAAAACAATCTGTCTCCTATTGTAGAGAGTGGAAGTATTTGTATGAATGAAACCCTAGACCTCAATCTGTCAGTCCCTCCATAGCTTAGTTGTGTCACATAAATAGTCATTTGATAGGCATGTGACTATTTAGATGGCTTGAAACAAGATGCGGACATCCTTCACAGTATAGGACAAATAAGAACATAGCAAAAAATAAAATAATACTCAAACTACTAATATAAATAGAAATCATAAAGCTAAGCTACATCAACTTCTCTATTTGTGAACTATTGAATTTTTATCAATAGCTTGTCCACTTGGTGCTTGAAGACTTCTCGGCATAGCTGGTTGCAAACTTCTTGTGCTTGGAAACTCAAATGGCATTCCAGATGACATCACTCCTTATTATCTGCCTCAGTCTTGCTGGCCTTGTTTCCAAATTTTATTCTTGCAATTTTCTAGTGGTACATGCTGTTCTAGAGAACTAAATTGCTTAAACGTTCTGGGATTTCATTGCATACATGAACTAAGCGAACAGGCCTTACAATCTAAACCTTTATTTTTCCCACTTGCTTATTTAAGGTCTGTTGTGTTACTGAAGGTAAGTTTTGGCCTTTTGGGTTGGTATTTGGTGACTAGAAGTTGTAGAACTCATCTCTTTTGTTATAAAAACATGTATTGGACTTTTCTGATTACTTTTTGATTGCCTTTTTTGCTTTTTGTTCACTTTATTTGTGTGTGTGATTGCTAGTTGCTTGGTAGTACATTACCTCCATACATTCTAAGGGTATAAGGGTGCCACATGTGTGTGTGTGAGAGAGAGAGAGATGGGTGGTGATGGTGAGCATGGGGTGCATTATGTAGAGGATTAAGAAGAAAACTAATGAAATTATAATGAGGGTATATGTGTGTATATAAATATAATATTTCTTTTGAAAAAGAACATCTTCAATTTAGCTACAAAATTCATTAAAATAAGGGAAAGGATTAGTAATTTTAATCCTTTCGAGATCCAATTAAGGACAGAAAACTATTACTCTTGCATCTATGAAGTCCGGATGCTTTTTAGGTTCATATATTCATATTGAGTATGCTATTAGATATGATACTCATCAAATACATTATGGAAACACACCAAGCATATTCATAACTAATAAAATATTTCTTGTTTATGGATATTTCTTGGATATGGATGTTTGACACGAACAATGCTTTGGATATGCATTGTGGTTTTATTGGGCAAATTCTATTTTACCTCATTGTGGTTTGCCTCTATAGCATTTTACCCCCAATAGTTCTAAAATAAGCACATAACCCCATATCATTTTGAACTAAAATGCACGGTTAACTCTATTAATCATATTTATTAGTTTCGTACGATACATCTGAAAAACGATACGTATCGTATTTCTGTATTGTTTTTGCAACGTATCGTACGATACATGATACGATTCGTACGATATAATACGATACGCTCAATACGTACAATATGTGAAGATTCAATTTTTTTAATTTTTTTTTTTGGTTTTTTGGGACTGAAATGACATCATTTCACACCAGGACTTATTTTTAAATCACTAGTTAGTGAAATAATGTCGTTTCAGTGGTTGTGGTTTAAAAAAAAAATAAAGTCTGCTGCTAATGTTGTTTAATTGAATTCAAAATTTTTGATTAATATTTAGCTTGTTCGAGCTGTTGATGTTAGAAGTTTGAATTAGAGGTCTTTGCATTTTGATTTTATTGAATTATGTTGCAAACTTGAATAGTTGGTTGAATATTAATGAAATGCTATGTTATTACGAGTCTATGATTTTTTTACAAAGGTATATATATATTTTATTAATAATTATTTAAAATTTTGCGTATCGTAAATACGTGATACGCGATACGCGATACGATAAATTATTTTTGAAAAATGATATGCCTTTTGATACGCGATTTGATAACTATGCTATTAATAGCTATACAATGATCAAAATATCGTTTTGAAATGGTCAAAACGTCCAAAACGTTTTCGTTTTCAAGGAGACCGAAACAAATAAGTGATGAAATCAA